TTTTTTACCAGTTTAATTAGTTGTTTCTTTTTCGCCTCTTCAGCAAAGGAAGTCAAACAAGCCGACACAAGTCTGTAAGAAACACTTAGCTTCACATGTGCGGCCAAATCATTTATATCTTGGTAGTGCACGCTTTTTCCAAACTAATTCTAACAAGCTTTTTCTTCTCTATAAAACCAAACATTTCTGCTCGTTCTTGCAGAAGTGCTTGTTCTAGTTTCGCTTTAATGAAATCGGGTAAGAAACGTCAGTTACTAGATATGAAACAAATAACTAGTAATTATAAATTATTGCAGTGCCCCAAAATCAATTGAGCGAAATGCCCTTTAAGCAATGTAGCTTTTCACTTTGTATGTGAGACACAATGGCACATGGGCACTTTTAATCCTTCATACATTATATTTCCATGTCACAATATTCGATTCACAGACCACTGTTACGTTTGCTTTGAGGTTATTTTTCGGTTGGGATCTTGTAATTAGAAAAACACTGGCTCAACCAAACATTACAATGTAACATTGAATCCATAAAGAAAAAAAATCCTCGATGTTTTCTCAATATACCTGATTGTTATCTATTTTTCCGAGACTTAATGTTCGCGATGTTCGCGATTATTCAAAAAATTGCGGAATTAAATACCCGCGAAAAACGTTCCAGGCGCAAAAAGAAATTAACCGCGCGAAATTTAGTACCTTGCTACATAGTTCCCTAATCAATTTATGGCACTGGGAGAAAGCAGGAGTGGCTGGGACAGTAATTATAAGGGGTGAATTAGCTTCAAGCACAAACAGATGGTTCGTGTACTCCGTGTAGTTCTGCTTTGTTGCAAAGGAACATGTCAAATTGTTTTCAGTTTCGTTTTGTCAAATGGCTTTGTTCAGTGTTTACTATTCAATTGCAAAGGGAAAATAAAATCAGTAGCGTCAATTCTGACTCCTGTCTGAGACTAATTAACTGCTGGTTAATGAAGATCAATATTTAGACAATTTTCGCGAAATTTAGTCTTTTTAACGTATTTTTGGGGTTCAAATTGCGAAATTAAGTCCCACAAAATAATTCCGTTCCATTTTCGCGAAATCAAGTTCCTGCAAAAATCAGTAGCAATAAGGTATATAACGCATTTTGAGTTCAATATGTTTAATTCCCACCAGTTAGATTTAAAATGAAACGTTATTATGGTGAACACTTGAAATGCAATTACAAACGCCTAAATTGAGGAAAACACACACCAAGAGGTGCAAATCACAGCGGAAAACAGCGACTCGATGACTAAATGCAAAATTAAGGCAATTTAAGACTTGAAATGCTGTTTTTCTGTTTTTCCACAGCCTTTGCGATTTTTATTATGGCATTTTATGTGAGCCAACACAGTTTAATTTTTTCAGATTCTTTAGAAAATACTGTTAAACGGCAGAAATCCTGAACTGGCTGTAGTTTTGTGAACAGTTAATTAGGGTGCGGGTTTAACGAATTAAAAATCTGGTCAAAAGCAATTTTTGGTTTTAAACCAAAATACACCACAGTGGTTACATTGACTTTTTACTGGTTTCCTAACAACAAAGGTAGCCATAGCAACGATTGTGGTATTTGTTTCTGAAATAAGGCGGATGAGGCTGATGATTTTCTCGAAAACATGTCAGAAACGTTTTATCCATCTTTTGCAATTTGTTTTTGCTTTTTCACTAAGAAGTGAAAATTACAGCGGAAAACAGANTAAATTGAGGAAAACACACACCAAGAGGTGCAAATCACAGCGGAAAACAGCGACTCGATGACTAAATGCAAAATTAAGGCAATTTAAGACTTGAAATGCTGTTTTTCTGTTTTTCCACACTCTTTACGATTTTTATTATAGCATTTTGTGTGAGCCAACACAGTTTAATTTTTTCAGATTCTTTAGAAAATACTGATAAACGGCAGAAATCCTGAACTGGCAATAGTTTTGTGAACAGTTAATTAGGGTGCGGGTTTAACGAAATAAAAATCTGGTCAAAAGCAATTTTGTTTTTAAACCAAAATACACCACGGTGATTACATTGACTTTTTACTGGTTTCCTAGCAACAAAGGTAGCCATACTGCAACGATTGTGGTATTCGTTTCTGAAATAAGGCGGATGAGGCTGATGATTTTCTCGAAAACTTGTCAGAAACGTTTTATCCATCTTTTGCTATTTGTTTTTGCTTTTTCACTAAGAAGTGAAAATTACAGCGGAAAACAGACTCAATAACTAAATGACAAATTAAGGTAGAAGACTTACTGCGCCTTTCAATAACATGCGGACTCTAAAATTCAAAGCTCAACCGACAAACGCGTTTTTCGTTACCGTCAATCAAATGTTCGGCGGTTCCTCCCAGCTTCCGACTACTGCCGAGCGCGCGGTGATCAAATCGTTGAGCACAGTTTAGACAACGAAACAGTGTAGTAGTAGTCGGAAGCTGGGAGGAGCCGCCGAACATTTGATTGACAGTAGCGAAAAACGTATTTGTCGGTTGAGCTTTGAATTTTAGAGTCCACATGTTATTGAAAGGCGCAGTAAAATGCTGCTTTTCCACATCGTTTTTCCACATCCAAGACCGTCTTCTTTTGCTATTTCAACAAGAATTTTTGAGTTTCCCCACAATAACCATTTTCATAATGACGTTACAAGTGCAAAGGTTTCTGATTCGATGCCCACTGCCTTAAACTGAGGGCCTCAGCTCTGAGTCTTCTTTAGCAAAATATTATTATAAATTCTGCAATTTGTGCAATTGTTCCCTATTTCTTCCTTTTTTTCTACCTGCCATCTGGGTACCAGGCAAAGAAATCCAAGTTCTGCAAACGTAAGTTAAACCAATGACCTTCCACGTACTTGATAGTCAGGATGCTGATCAGATAGGTTCCAATGTGGGGGGTTATGGATTTGATTCCTGTTAAGAGAAGTAAGTGCAACTTTAAATCAAACCTCCAACTTGGATGCACTTGCACAATTTCTTTTTTCAAAGTGTAGTAGCAAATATATCAGGGGCGTAGCTAAGGGGAGTATTGGGGTGTCCATGACCCCCCTTTTGTAAGCTTTTTTTAAGCAAACAACCTACAACAGGTGGCAAAAACAACACGACAATCTGCTGAGTACCCTCACTTTGACATAGTGTGACCCCCCCCCCCCCCCCCCCCC